TTCTCCCTCTACTCTCTACATATCTGGAGGGCAAAATCTGTTTTATTCTTCTTGGTATCCCAGCTTACTAGCACACTGCTCAGTATGTAGTATTCAATGTCAGATAGGTATTCAATGGGTATTTGTCAAATATGTGAAGGGAAACTAAGGAGCTAAGGATGTAAAGTTACATTTGATTGCTAAAACATTGGTTCACTTTCATGATTCCCTTGAAAAGAAGGGTAAATATGCCAGAAAAGAATAAAAAGGATCTCTTTGATTTGGTTATAGAGCATTCATGACCCATTCACTATTATTCACCAGCTCTGGGCTGGGTCATTAGTTCCTCCTAGCAAGACTGTCCACACATCCTAAGAACCCAGCAAGGCAACAGTTAAAACAGGGGAAATGAGACAACAAATTACAAATATAAAGTGGATGAAACAATCGAGGATAATTGAGTCATGTCATAAGTATAATATATCACATTCCATCACATCACACACACACACGCACACACATGCACGCACAGAGTTTGCTCAGGTTTATACCCATTTCCCTGCTTATTAGCAAATTGTTTAGGTGTGGAAATAGAGCATTTTATTGTAATACCTTAGTCAATTCACTTAATCACTCTAAGTATCTTCATTTTAAAAAAGAGATAGCTATCTTGACCTCACAGGGTTTTTGTTAGTTGAATTACATGAAAACATACAAACTATAATCAATAAATATAGTCCGATTACATAATATAACATGAGATTATTTTTATGTCTTGTAACAAGAAAGTCAATGCCAAAAAATGATTATTTCCTATTTTCACAACTGTTTTATATGAGTAATGCAAAGTATATGCATACACAGATTGGAACAGGTTGGTGAGGCTCAGAGATAAGCAAGCATGTCTGGAAAGAGGCCATTTGACCATCATATTTGCCAGATGTAGAATGCCATAGAGTTAGTAAGATGAATACAAGAAAACATGATGTATTTTGATGCTGTGTTATATAAATTTTATAGTAATGTTTTTATTTTTATTTATTTATTTTAAAAGATTTTATTTATTTATTTGACAGAGAGAGACACAGCGAGAGAGGGAACACAAGCAGGGCGAGTGGGAGAGGGAGAAGCAGGCTTCCCGCTGAGCAGGGAACCCGATGCGGGGCTCAATCCCAGGACCCCGGGATCATGACCTGAGCCGAAGGCAGATGCTTAATGACTGAGGCACCCAGGCACCCCAACAGTAAGTTTTTTTAGATCAGTGTTAAGAGACTTAGAAATAATATGAATTTGTATTTAAGTGCAATTAATGTTTCCATTAATGCTCTTTCCTATGGTACTTGCCTGACCAACCAAGCCCAAGACTCAGCTTTGACCCAAAGTTGTATGATCTGAAACCTTTATCACCAGTTCAGCTTTCTCTCTTGAGCTTCAGACCTAAATTTCTAACTGCCTGACAACTAACTGATCCACATGTTCCATGGAGGTGTCAAACTCAACATGTCCTACACTGAACCTCCAAACCTACTCTCCTTTCAGTTTTCCCCACTGAAATTAATGGAATCACCATCTACCCAATCCAGAAACCACATCTTCAACCTCTTTCTCTCCTCCACCTACTACTATATCCTGTAAGTTACGTACTTCCATTAATTCTGTGTCTTGAATATCTCAAAATTTCTTTATTTTCTCTCCATTCCTACTGCCCTTAACCTAAGCCCTTATACCTGTCATTTGAACCATTATAATCATGATGGGAATATATAAGATTAAACTCAATAAACTCCAGCTAAAATAAATTACCCCATGTCTAAGAACATTCCTTGTACCTTCATGTGCCTCCACTCCTCTTCATTTGATCTAAACTTCTGTTTTAATCAATTTAGTACTCATTTAAAAATCTTTGCATTTTTATCTACCTCCTCTGTTAAGCAATGCCTTCCACAAGGACATAAATCTTGTCTCATTTATGTTTGTATCCTGAACAATAATACCTGTACTTTGTAGGTATCAGAAAATATTTGTTGAATAAAGAGATCCCAGGTGCTATACAAGAAAAGACTCTGAGTAAGAATAAATTTGGATTTTTTAATGTATTTTTTTAAATAAGTTTTTCTATTAGATTGTACATAATTTGAAAATTTTTACTATGTGTAACCCAGCTCTACAGGATTCTTTTTCCTCTGCCATAATAGATTTGCTAAATTGAATTAAATTGCTTCAGGTATTTAGTTTAGTTATGCATTTTCCCCATATTTTTCTACTTTTTTCCCATTTCATTTATAAGGGGGATGGAAAAACTAGTTTATATCATCCTTTTAAAATCTTATGTTATGCCAAAATACTCATATAAAAGGAATTATAGGTCCACAGAATTATCTTTCTCCTTATTTACTCATTTATATTAATATAACTGAGTATTAATCAAAGCCAATCTTGGAAAATATCCTAAACACAAATAATATTGTGACATAAAAAACAACAACAAAAGAGAAATTAAGACTCAAAGAACTGGATCAGAGTACTCATCATCTGACATCACAGATGGAGATCACTTGTCTTCATAGAGAATCAGGACTTGGGGTGGCCTTTGCATAAGAAATAGTTTGGCAAAAGAAAAACACCAGACTGCTGCCAGGAAATTAAAAAAAAAAAAAAGCTTTGGAAGAGTAGTTTAAGGAGAAAAACCATAAAGTAAATACACTTGACAGATCCACAAAATAGTTTGATTGACTGAAAACCAACCAATTGAACAACCATTCATTATACTCATGTCCACACATGTGTGCTCGAGTGCACACACACACACCTGCTATTCTTACTCCCATCCAACAAGAGCTATATAAACATTGAGTTTTCCTTTTAGCCTTGACTAATAGGAAGGCTTGTGTAAAATTAATACTCCATTCTACTAACCACATTCATGGTATTTGGGAAATAATTATCCTACCCCCCTTTTGACATTTTATTTCTTATCTTCTTTTTTAAATTATTTGATTGTATTTATATGTATCAGAATAAAACAAAGTACCATCAAGAATTAGAGTAATGCAGTGCCATTTCTCTGCAGTGAATAGAACTTATTCTTTAATCCCTTACCCTGAACGTCTTCCAGCAAAGGACACTCAAGGAGTCAGGTATGAGGAATAAGAGACTTGGCTCAGGAAGTAATGGATGTAATAACCAAGGCAGTTGGTATTTATTTTAACTTACAATAAAATACAAGGACTATTAATGCAAAAATACATATTATTGTAATGGCCAGAACTAGACTTCCTTTAAAGGTGGGAAATGGCTTTGGAAAAATACATTATTAAGCTTTCTGGGTTGGATTAGCAGGTGTTTAAAAAAAAAGAAACAGATAAAATACTCTGAACTGTTAATAAGGAGAAAAGAAGAAGGAGGAGAAGAAGAAGGGAAAAAAAGAAGAGGAAGGAGAAGAAGGGGAAGAGGAAGGGCAAGCGTTTGGGGAGGAGCAAGACAGGATCCAGAGGAGAGGAGAGAGGATTATGAAGCAATGTATCAGAGTATTACTATTAATAAGGATTTTAAAAACAGGGAGAGCTGATATTCCCTGTGAAGTTTGGACTCATTATTATGATGTAAATTCCCACTCCATTTCCCTGAAACCCTCAGCAAGACTACTCTCACATCAATGCCTTTGTGTAAGTGTTTTTGTTGTTCTCATTGGTTTTCATTTTGTGCTGTTTTCTTGATTTTGAATGGTAGAGTCAGGCTAGGGGCTGATGTTGAAGCTTGGGCTGCAGCATCGTGAAATTGGACTATCACATGATCCATACAATGAACTAACTCAGTGCCTGCAATAAGCCAGAGGTACACCTTGAGACCGTAAGTCCCTGAGGATGTTTGCATAAATCTTGTAAAGACCATTGACCTTTCTGAGAGCAGAAGGAATTTAAGCCAACTCCACCTATATATTTGGGGGAATGAAGACTCTGTCTATCCTTTAATCACATGTTTCTCCCAAATCCTTTTCAAAATAGGGGACTTTTCAACTAAAAATGTTTTTTATACATATACATACTTGCATGAATAGGTGTATTGAAAACAATGCAGGCAATGCAATGCATGCCATCCATCCACAGACAGACTTTAGATGTATGTTGCAATCTTTTGAATTTATAGCAAACAGAGAGTTGTGATATTTGGAAGTGAATGACAGCATATAAAAGTAAACATAGAAAGGCTAGAGAAGGCAAGAATTTCTACGCCTATAAGCACACTCCTATGCGTATACGGATTTTGTTGAAAATATAAAAGTTTGATCTTTCTCTGCATTTACAGCTCCAACTGTTTTACTTCCTGCCTACTTAGTGTGCTAGCACTGCCTAAATTTCCCTAGAGGGGATGAAAGAAGAGTAGAAGGACTCACCCTGCCACTGATAAACTTAAAATCTATTTGGGGAGATGAGATTGAAAGACATAAAAATACTCTTACTTAATACTCTTAATTGCTTTACCATTTATGGAGCATTTATATACACATTATCCCATTTAACCTTACAGTGTTCCAATGAAGTTAAGAGGAAGGGCAGTGATCATCATTATGTCCATTTTAGAGACGAGACTACCAAGTCCAGAAAGAAAAGTGACGAACATGACCAAAGAGCCATATCTGACTTTATATTTCACACTATCCCACACTCCTTCTCTGAATAAAATAATTAGAATTTAATTACATGCAGACAATTATATGTATCATTTTGGCAATAAACACAATCAGACAGACACAAGTATTGCAATTTTTAAATAATATTACACTATAATTTTTTATAAGAAATTAGCAAGGAGGAAACATCATAATATGGTTAATATAAACATTATATATATTTTTAATAAAGAAAACAGCCCCACTGTTTACTAAAAAATAGTTCAAACCTTTTAAAGTTTGTATAAAATCAGGTTGTATCTTACCTTTTTTTTTTTTTAATAGTACGTGTCTTAGAAGCACACAGCTTCACCGTCAAAGGTAATCTAAGAGTGATGCACAAACTGCCTACCTTACAAATTTCGAGGAATTTCTCACTGGTGTTTTTCATGGGATGCTCAGTGAAGGTCGCATAAGGCACCTCAGTGGACCATGGGTTCCAGCGGGAAAAGAGGGACTGCTCTTCCAGACTCCCCCAGTAGATCCTAAGGCCTTCTCCTTGTCTCCTACAAGAAAGGAGTTTCCTTTAGATTAGCCATTGTCATTCAATTAAAATAAAAAGAAAAGGATGGGAAAGTAAAGCATTGTCTCAGTTAGCCTTTATAATGATGCTAAGTGGCTTGCCTACTAACTGATTGTTCCAGAAATTTAAGAGGTAAGAATAAAAGGATAAATTTGGTTCCAAACATGATGAGTTCTGGGTGTTGTTGAAAATCCTATGTGGAAATGCCTAGTTGGAAATGTGACTCTGTTGCTGAGGACAGAAGGCCAGGGCTGGAAATAGGGATATTAACCTCATGCCAATATTCCGATGATAATGGTTAAAAGAAAAGGGGAGAGGAACAGTCAGGGTGGTGGGACAGGAACTGGAAGTGTTGAAGTGGTGGGTAGTTTCAAGGAGAAGGGAAATGACAGCAGCTCCAGTTTCCACAAAAGAGTAAACACAAGCAGGAAATGACTGAGAAGAGACATGGGACATCAATAACAGTAGCGTATGTATGATCCTTAAGAGGGATGATGACCAATTCAAAATGCGTGTGACTTCAGCTTTTATATCTCATGGTTCTCTATTCTCTGCACACATTCCATCCAGCAAAGTTGTAGAAACAAACATATCAAAACTCATAAAGGAATTGTGCCTGCCTTTTCAAATACTCTCTGGAATAGCCCAGGCCTGGCCATCTGGTAAACCCAAGTGCAAAACAAGAGGAAGCTTGGGAGTGATGGGAGGGAAGTTGTGGCAGGAGAGTGTGGCTACGTTGAATAACAAAACTGTAATTCCTGTGGTCTCTTCTTTTACATGTGCCCATCAGAATTTATGGTTTGTGGTTTTAGACATCTCTGAATGCAAAGAGATCCCTGGAGGTTAAGCCAAGCTCAGGTGCTTTGCATTCAACAAGCTTTAAAACTAAGTTGCCTGTAATTCTAAACATCCCCATGGAACATCACAGAGCTCTCATTTCTTCTAGAAATTAAATCCTGGGATCTAGAACAAAAACCCAGAGCTTAATTGTGGTGCCTTCACAAAGCTGTCACTTCCTGTATTAAGGAGGAATTCCTTTGGGAATGCTATTGTGGCTTCTGAGTGTTTGTCCAAGTAGAGATGTGTATAAACACAATCTCACACATATGCATATGCCACCCCTCTCCCCCACTGGCTGATCTCTGAGATTCTTCTTAAAGTTAGAAAAGACCTTGGCACATTCTACTGCCCAGTTCTCAGATTTTTGATCATTATGTTTGAAAACTGACACCGAACCTTTTTTTTACTTAATCCTTCACCCACAAAGAAAAAAAAGAAGAAGAAGAAGAGAGGAAAAGAAACATATTGTACATACTTCTAAAGTTCCCTTTCTAACCTCTCACCTTCCCAGCTGCTATGCTGGCATTTATCATACCCCCCATACATTCCTTCATTCTGTTTCTTCTCTTTCTTTCTTTCTTTTTTTTTTCTCCTGGCCTGGCAATAAACTCTAAGCTCAGTGAATATTGTATGCATGCTGGTTAATGGAGCATTCTGGCTTTAGTCTATTAAAACAACTTGCACAATGGAATTATTTACTGCTTCATATGTCAATTTATGTGCTGGGTGCAATTTTGCTTTTATACAAAGGCAATGAAAATCTGCCAAGATAGCTTCTCTAATAAGTACACTTTATATTCTTTTACCTTAGGGAAACCTCAAATGAAGTTTAAGCATGAAATTCAAGAGGGACCCTATTTCTAAATAACCAATCAATGTGAGCATGGCAATGACATTTCTCAGAGATGAAGAATAATTCTAAATATACAAGTTCATACTCAGCCATCAGAAAGGATGAATACTTACCATTTACATCAACCTGGATGGAACTGGAGGGTATTATGCTGAGCAAAGTCAATCACAGAAAGACAATTATCATATGGTTTCACTCATACATGGAATATAATAAACAGCACAGAGGATCATAGGGGCAGGGAAGGAAAACTGGAAAATCATCAGAGAGGAAGAAAAACCATGAGACACTTAACTATAGGAAACAAACTGAGGGTTGCTGGAAGGGAGGTGGGTGAAGGGTGGGGTAATGTGATGGGCATTAAGGAGGGCACGTGATGTGATGAACACTGGGTGTTATAGGAAACTGATGAATTATTGAACACTACGTCTGAAATTAATAATGTACTATATGTTGGCTAATTGAAATTAAATAAAAAAGGAAAATAAATAAATAAATAAATAAATAAATAAATAAATAAATAAATATACAAGTTCAGCCAACCTTCTCTCCTGAGCTCCACTGGAGATATCTGAGAAGATAAATCTACAACTAAGAAGTTTCTCCAAAGGTAAAACTAAGACAGTGCTTCTCAGCAAAGACTTCAGTACCAGAGGTCTATGAAAATCTATCATCTTCTGTCAAATGTCATAAGGACAATTATGGAGAATATAGATGCCTTTATAACCAAGAATGCTTTATTAGTTGCTTGTGCTCACCATGAAAGATATCATATCAGGTAACAGGGTAAAGTGAAAAATGTAAAGAACAGGATGTCAGGTATTCTTGTGTTAGAGTCTTGGTTCTGACACTTAATGCTGTGTAACTATGAATAAGCTAGTTTCATTTTCTGAATCTCAGTTTTACCATATGCTCTTTGGCATGTTTCCATGTGACACCTCATGACCTTGGTAACTATGTAAAGGATGTAGATGGCTACGGTCATGATTCTACTATCATTCATCCAGTCAAGGACATACAAGATCTAAAATAAGCCTCTGGGTTGTGGCTTCAGTTCAGAGGCATCAAATTAGCCCCCTGAACACATCCTCTGCTGCAAAGACTATACCAAGCATTGTCCCATCACTCCTAGGGAACTTTAGCACCTGCCATGATGCTTCACAAACATGTGAAAGCACAAATCAGCCACCATATGATGGAATAGCCTTTTAATGTTTATAAACTAGAGAATGTCAGAGATAGAAGGGCTCTTGGAAGGTAAAGCCCAGTGCCTTCTTTCTGGATAGGAGAAAACTGATACAGAAGGACTAGAGCTTTCCCGAAGCATCATTACACACAGGGTTGAGCTGGTGGGAGCCCTGGACTCCCAAGACTTCATTTAGGGGTCTTTTCACCATTCTGGAATATCATTACAAAATACATTCCAAGTTAAGGTCCTGCTATTACACAACACAGGCTTACTTCCAATCAACACAGAATTAAAAGACTTGCCCTAAGGAGACCATCACCATCTATAGGCAAAAAGCCTGCCCAGAGATCCTAGCTAAAGGTCAGAAAGGAAATCTCAGTCTCAAAAGGAACTGTAGATTTGTATATATATTTAATATTATCAATTATGAGATTGCAAGAAAATAAGGTAGCCCTGGGAGTGAAGAGGGAAATTACAATAAAAGTTATTTGTCAGGGTAAGAAGACTGGATCTTTCTCACTGAGCTGCTATGGTCAAGTTAATCAAAGTGGGGGTACAGTCCTAGGTAAAGAATGCCAACACCAAATTATTAAGTAAAGAAAGGTTTGCTAGCTCTGTCCTCCAAATCATACTCTGAGTATATACCCTGGCTTTGAGCATTATATACCACCTTTCCAATATTTAGGTAACCACAACTTCATGAGGAACAAGAAGATAATGGATAAGAAAGTGTTTTGTATGCTATAAGGCCCAACTAGCAAATCTTGAGTTCCTAGTGTGCACTATAATGCTTAGTGTATACCGTTAGAAACTTTTTGTTTAAATTTTATTTAACTGCATTTACACTTCTTGTGGTAGAAATAAATGAAGTTAACAGGAAATATGATAAAGAATATGACCAGGCTTAATCAGATCAGCAAGTCAAGAACCACTAGAGGAACAGAATAAGAAGGGGAAGGAGAAATTCCATGATCCTTACATACACAAAACCAGAAAAGCAAATTTCTAGAACAGAGAAGGTTCTGGAATATTTTACATTTTTATTCATCTATTGATTCCTCTTCCTCCACCTCATTCGGAGTCTCAGAATACTTATTTGTTTAGTTTCTGTGTTATCAGTGTTTTGATGTATATGATTTCCTCCTTGAACTTAAATCCATCAGAGAGACTTCCATTCAACTTAAAACACCCCTATAGCTCTTTTTTCTTCAGACTGAGTCAGTATAGTTCTATAAAACTTTTCTAATAGGTTAAAAATAATCTTTTAAATCACCTCAGAGGTGAATCCCTGAAACAGTCCTAAGTTGTCTATCTTCAATTCCACAATTTAATTAGCATATTCTCTGTACAGTACAGTGTATTATTGCAGGTAGAGAAATGAATAAGACTCAGTCTCTGAACTCCAGAAGCCCATGGTCTGATGATCTCTGGGCCTGTTTTACTATCATGTCTTTCCCATACCTCAAACAGGTACAAATAGAAACCCACAGATCTCATTATAGAAGTAGAAGTTCACCTGTTACAATTTATTTTTTCCTATTTTCTATCCTCAAGGAAACCAGCTAGATCTGGCCTCCATTCCCACAGTAGTAGAAGCAAGAAAGTCAATGTACCCTTTGCTTCTGATAAATTTCAAAACCTCCCAGAAAGATAAAGAAGTCGGGGAAAGTCTCCATAAAGATTCATAAGAACTTGGTGGAAGAAGAGGTTTATAATAGTTGGAGATTTTTAGGATCTTAGACTGTCTGAGTTGGAGGTCCTTTAAGAGATGTGTTTCCAATTCTTTCATTTTATAGATGTATAAACTGAGGACCAGTATTTTCAAAGATCAAGCTCTTCCTTTAGTCTTGTTAATTACATGTTCTACTCAGTGACTCACACTCAGAATTCTACTCAAATACAGTTGTTGCCAGGGTGGAAACATAAGCAATTACTACTTTAAACCATCATAGCAGCCAAATAGATTTGCCTTCTACACCACAAAAAGCAAAGGCATGTTGAAGAGATGAGGTTTATACAGAAGAAACTATCATCCAAATGCCAAAGGACCAAACATGAAAAATAAATGAACAACACAAAAAAAGGAGCTCCAAGTTGAATG